CTGTAGTAGCACTAGCATTAATAGAAATAGCTTTAGCTGTAGTAGCATTAGCATTCGTAGAAATAGCATTAGCTGTAGTAGCATTAGCATTAGTAGAAATAGCTTTAGCTGCAGTAGCATCAACAGTATTTGTCCATTCATGACAGTCCACAATAAGTTGTCCATGGTGTAACTACAAATGTTTAGTACAGAAAATTTCCTCAGACCTCGTCTTCACTGTGGATTTTATTTTTATTAAAACCACTTCCACCAAATAAACCTGAAGTGGTTCTGGTGAAGTGTGCGATTAGTTTGTAGCCCTCAACAGGTGAGTTGTTCCCGGCTGCAGTTTCAGGTTCTTACCTGTTGTCTGATGGAACTGTTTGTAGATTTACACGATGAACGGTTTCAGTCGTCCTCTAAACTCGTATCTGTGGTGGTTTCTGCCCGCAGGACGCTGGGACTGCCCGTGGCATCACTGCGACGTTTGTGGGAAAAACTCAGCGGCTTTCTGCCAACTCTGTCCGAACTCCTTCTGCAAGGCTCACCAGGAGGGGGCGCTGCGTCCCTGGCCCCCCACAGGACAGCTGTGCTGCACGGAGCATGACGAGCTGGAGGGAACAGACAACGTGGCCCAGGACGTGAACTCTGAGACGAACGCCGCCGCAGTCGCTGCTGGTTGTCCCAGAGGCTCTAGGAAGGTGGGGGCCAAAATGAAGGTCTCCAAGAGAAAAGCATCTGAAGCCTGACGGGATATTTCAGAACCAAACCGGACTCAGACACCTCCATCATCAACCAGATCATGAAACCGAGGCACTGTACGTTCACATCAGGGAAAGCTGCTGATGTCACACACTCAGCATCCACCTTTAGCTCCTTTATTTCCCCTCAGCGGTTTGTTTTCTCAATGCGCCGACGATCCAATCAGCGGGTCGGAGAACGGAGGCAACTCCAACAAACAAACCACGTTTTTTTATTTTTTTATTCCAGATGACCAAACGATAACCCAACCATCTGTCATCACACGGCTGAGTTTTAAAGCAATAAACAGGTTTCCAAACAGTTTATTTTTCTAAATGTATGTCGGATTTAAAACACCAAGATACTATGGAGCCGATCAGGCCTCGAATGACCTCTGGACTTGTTTACGTAGCTTTAGATCATGTAAAAATGTAGACATGATTCATTGTTTTACAACTTATTTTGTTTTAGCTCATTTTTTAAAGATTCTAATTAGTGATCCTTTCTAGAAAACAACAAACTACGGGGGTTAAAAAAAAAGAGGTCTGATACAAACACTACTTGGGAGACTTGGAGCGGCTCCAACCCGTTCGTTCAGTCGGTTCTAAGTTCCACGGTTCTAAGTTCCACGGGTCTAAGTTCCACGGGTCTAAGTTCCACGGGTCTAAGTTCCACGGTTCTTCAACGTCCCGCTTTAGTGTCTGAATGCTGTGATTTTTAGGTTTGAGTCGTTCTTTGGAAATCTGAAGGCGTTTGATTCAATTTTCTGCTCTGAGATTTAGTTTGATCCTCAGAAAGTTCACTGAAGGCCACTGAAGCATGATGGGAAATTAGAGGTTTGTCTAAAGCCTAGTTATCTCCGTGTTTGCAATCAACGAGTCAAGCAGCCAATTTTTTGAAAGTCGCAGCCGCCCCCACGTTAGATTTAATCTGCCGAAGAAAATTTAGGAGTTGAAGACGGGTAGATTTGAACCAAGCGCGTTGTCTCTGAGACTATTTTAAGAAAATAATGTGTCTCGAAAAGTTTCTGAACATGTTTAAAACTCTAGCAACAAAACAAAACTCTGTCTCACACAAAGACCTCAAGAAACTCTAAGAACGCTTTTGGACATCCAGGAGACTTCCTCAAAAATGCTGTTTGCCAGCTAATCCTAGTCCAGTGAGATGCCACCTTAAGACTTGAAACTAAAAAGAGAAAGGTTCATGACTTTCACAACTTTTTGCCCTTTTTTTTGGAATAAATTTGTTGCACAAATGTTAAAATCAAGTGACAAACCTGACTCGAGAGGAAATTAAAAACCAATGGAAACGTTTTGAGACATTCTCTTGATTAGTGTTCGTAGAGCATTTGTAGCTGGGGAGATGCCACCTTAAAACTAACAAAGTAAATTGAGAAGGCTGAGATGAGTTTGAGACTGCAGCAACAAAAGTAGTAGTGTGAGACACCCGCAATAAAATTGAGATGGGTTTTGGACACCTACAACAAAATTTGAGAAGCCTGCAACAAAACTGAGACAGGTTTGAGACACCCGCAACAAATCTAAAACTAGTTTGAGACACCCACAACAAAACTGATAAATTTCAGACGCCCGCAACAAAACTAAAACGAGTTTGAGACACCCGCAACAAAACTGATACATTTGAGACGCCCGCAACAAAACTGATAAATTTGAGGCGCCCACAACCAAACTGAGA